TTTATCTAGGAAAACTAATAGGACTGCCCTAAATGTGATTGTGCACCATAGTTTTCTCTATGCAAGGAATGAAACAGGTTGCTATAGTATCATATGGCAGCTTTAGCTTGTCTAAAGCTGATGGTACTGCTGCCAAATACCAGTATGCTTTGTTTGCTATGTGACTGGGCTTAATGGAACTTTGAGCCCCTTTCAGTATTTGAGCCAAAGGCTAAACTAGAGAGTGGTGTGACTCTGCAGCTGTTTTCACCACCCAGACCTGCCAAACCCTGTCTATGATTCAGGTCACGATTGTCTCTAAATAACAACACTGGGACTGGGTTGGAGTCTCTTAACACTTGGAGGTAAAACTGGACAAATGTTCAAATCCATATGAACTGGATTATTTATCCAGGGCATTCTGTTAGGGTCTGAGGTTGGAGTACTTGACATATCTTGACTTTTGACTCAATGTCACTGTTTAAGGATTTGTGGCTTAGCACCACATGTCGTGTCATGGCTCAGGTGTCCAATGCAGGCTTAGTCATTTAAACTGAGCTTGGCCAACTGCAAAGTTTCATCTCTTACCCACAGAGGGGGCAGCTGAGGCAGCAGTCATTGGTCCGACCTCGCAGACAACGGGCGCAGAAGATATGGTAGCAGTCTAGTAAACATGGAGACTTGTACTGCTCATGGCACAGGTGACACACAAGGGGGTGGAGGTTAGAGCAGTCCTCCTCAAACAGGTTGCCCACATTGGAGAAGATCCCTCCTGCCATCTGAAGACAGCAGGGTGAATAATGACATACAGGATAGCGAAGCTCACATCATTTCATCACTTGAATTAAAAAGGTTTGTGCGGTGGTGTGAAATAACAGTCCAAATATTCCCGTCATTTAAAGAGAGGCTAATCTGACAGAGACAGCAAGCCGGCAACCAAAGAAAAGCCTGAAAACAGATGAAGTAAACATGCAGAACCATTTTAGTCTTCCCAACTCAGGCATGTTATGTGAACACAAATTCAGTCATGACTTTAGATCAAACACCAGATTTACTGTTGACAACATGTATCTGACAAAACTTACTGTAAATGTAGCAGGCTTGTCTGGAGAAAGAACAGAGAGCCACTGTCTTACCTTTCTGTGCTGCAATCAGCTACCCCCAGCAGGAATGGCAGCAATGCAGAAACTCTTCAATAGTCTGCTCATGGGGTCTGTCCA